TTTCAAGCGACTCAAAAAAAAGACTTGACAAAAAAGTAATGATCTTATTTTGGATAACTGTACTGTACTGTAATTGCAGCTTCAAGGTATGCTTCCGATAGTGGGATTTGATACTTTAACTCCAATCGTATATTCCAGACAAATAAGTGTATAGCAGAATGAGGTCTTACACCGACAAAGAAGCAACGATTTAATCAGATATCTGTTGCAGTTAGTCCACTGAAGAGAGAATTTAGCGAACCGTTAATAATGTTGGGTTACTTGGTTCACTGGTAATAGGCATAAAGAAGCACAAAAGCTGGCTAAATGTTGTCGTCTAAAATTGTTTATTTGTAATATTTCGCTGAATATTATATAGAGAAAATTAATGAGCATGAGAACAAACTTAAATTGATTGCAAACAAAATTTAGGCACGAAACTTTTGGTAAAACAATTTTCTCATCAAAGACTAACGAACGAGCAATTAAACTGTCAGGAGGATATGCATCAGCCTGCAGTTTCATATCAGTTAGGTGGTCAAAATACACAGCTTCTTCATCAAATTAAAACAACTAACTATTTTCGTTGATTTATTCATATTTTAAACTTGATTCTAGGCTAAAAAAATAAATAAAAGTATTCATGATTTCTTCTATTTGAAGACTTTGGTAAATTAATTTTGGTATATATTTGTCTTTTGCTAGAATTTTTATTACTTTTTTTCTGCAGTAAACAGCTTATTAAGTTTATCGCATTGATGATAATGCTAAGGTTGTTTTTTTTTTAAAGTGTAAAACATGGTAGTTTACGTTGTTTGCACGTAACTATTTCGTATGTTTTGTTAATAAATTATCCTTTGAAAAAAGAAAAACACCTAAAATGGTAACTCTATAAACATAAAAAAACAATTTCTGTTTAATAGTGCAGCTACTTGTTTAAAAAATTTGAATTTTATATTGGTTTTTTTTCCTGTTTATATATTATTGTACGTTGGCGGCTTAGTTGAACAAATGATGTATTGTGTACATTCTTTCTGCAGGTGTAATTTATCAGATTCAGTTTTTAAAATTTTCAATGCACGTGCAGTAAATAACTTCGAAAAAAAAACCATCTTTTTACGCCGATATTATTAACGCTCAAAAACATTGTGCTATTATATAGTATACGCTTAAAAGCAGTAACGATGTGAATGGATATGCGCAGAAGAACGCATTGAATGCTACAAAAGCTCAACGAACTAAAAAGTTCAGGTACAGTGGTGATAAGGCAAATTATGTTCTAAGAATGATGGGTTAAACTAAGATAAAAATTTTCTGTACCATCTTTTTAAGTTCAAATGAAGGCCAAACGAACAAATAGAACCCTATTATGAGCTGAGCAAAAACTTGTAGCATATTAGGGAGGATGGATCCAAGAAGGAAACAAAAAGGCAGTAATCATATCTTATATAGACCTTTAAAAAAAAAAACAAACGAAATGCCAATTGTCTGCATTTTAGACATTCAAAAATCTTTAAACTGGTTTAATCTTTTAATTTTTTTTAGAGAAACATAAATAAAATTATTTGTTTAGCTGTTTTTTTTTTTCTGTAATTATTCTCATATTTACTGTCCACGTCACCTGTCAGATTATCTAATAGATTATTTAAAAAATTTGGTTTTT